CGACGATCTTCGACACATGACGGACGAAAGAATTATACAATATTAAAAGCAGTATTGACAGAGAGATGGAGGATAGAATCAAATATCATAATTATTTTGAAGTAGGCTGGACTTTTTAGCCAGATAATGCAATCGATCAAGGTGTTCAAGCTCTAGAGTACAAGGTTAGAAACCATATATCTTGGTTTCATCAAGCAAGCGTAGATTCGAAACTCAATATTGTGCTTTAATAGAGAGTTATTCTTTTAATATATGTGATATGGTCAAAGCATTTAAAAGAGGAGGTTGAGTTGTGACAAATTATAATGCTTATTATACTGAATACAGATATAATTATTCTCAGGGACAAAATCTCGTGCAACGTAATGGAGCTGTAGACCTAATCTTAAAACGCTGCTCATGTGAGTAAAAATACTAAAATATAGTAAATATACAAAAAGACCAAACAGTTACCAGCCAACTAGCTAAGCCCAAAGAGTAAAAACATACATAAGGGCTTTAAAAGGTACTAACCGAGGCATTAGTTCTCGAAATTATTTGCTGATATCGGTAAGCGTCAAGAAGAGCTCGTCCAGCCAGCTGCTTTGCCAAAATCATGCCACCTCCAGGGAGCCTAGCAACGGCCATTGCTAACTTGGAGCCGGCCACACGTACAACCAACTTGGAGTCAGTAAGGGCAATTCTAACCATACGAAGCATGCGGAGGGAAATCCAATTAAACATTGCAATTTTCGAAGGTTCCAACAAGTGGATGTTACGAGCATGTTTTGCAAGAAAAGTTATAATCTTGGTGCCGATATCAAGACTGCACAGTACCACATTGAAATTTGCGTCTGTTACCAACCGTATAAGCAATGATATAAGGCAATGCAAAGCTCGAGTTTTTAGTGGCACACTTGAAGTAACACCTGCTCTCACTGAGTCTGAAGCCGTTGAGTCAGTGATATCAAAAGAAGAAGATACAAAGCCTAGTAACTTGGCTGAGCGCCTTGGCGAATTTAATGCAGCTAAAACAGCATCGCGCATGGCCTCGGCACCTTGGTGGGCGATTCTAGGATCGTACGTAACAGATGCGTGCGC